TGATCAATTCAGTCTATGACTTATCTTGTACCTATCAGCAGCAGTGTATACACTTCCATGAGTGCTGTCACTCTGGAAATAGGATGTAGTGTTGGGTGTATGTCATAGTCTTTCCTCATCAGCAGAGGAGAAAAAAACAGAGACAGATGGAACACACACACTCTGAAATTCTCCTAACTTGGGAGTCAGAGCAGTTGGGAAGGAATCAGTCCTCATCCCTTCCTACCCTCTCCAGATGGCCAAGTGACAGGTAGAGTTCTAACAATAAGGAAGAAAGAACTGAAGATAGACTATCACATGAAACTCACTCTGAATGTTGTGGGAAGAAATGGTCTTTTTCAAAGACAGCGGAAGCAGTAGACTTGAAATTTGTAAAAGATGGTGTGGCTGCACAAAAATAAGAGAAATAAGGGAAACAGTGAAGTAATAATTAACAAAGTCCACTAATATTAATCTGTAATAGAAGATAACAAAGCAACCCTGTAAGCAAAGAGCAAAAATTACCTGCAAACAACTTTCTTTCTAGTTCTTCTTGAATTTTAAGAAGAATCCTTTCCCGTTCTAAGGCTTCTATGTACTTTGAGTAGCACCAGGTTGGCTAAGAAAACAATTTTCAAAATTAATTTTGGAAATATTTGCCCCAGTAAATAAACTGAAGGTAAGATAATATCAGCTCCCTCATTTAAACCATTTATGCTAGAAGAACACATATAAAGAAATGTGCACATTTCAAAAATTTATATGAATTTTCATAAACAGAACTTACTGATTTAAACTTTTAACTGGGTACCAAAAATTATTACGGATCTACATTTATGTAGATATGTTTATGATGAAGTAAAGGGATTTTTCTATAGCCTTGACCTAAATTTTTAATAATTTAAATTTTGTTCTAGTTTTATTGAGATGTAATTGACATATAGCACTGTTTAAGTTAAAGGTGTACAATAATAATGATTTGACTTACACACATCATGAAATGATCACAAGAGATTTGGAAAACACCTATCATCTCATATAAATATAATATTAAAGAAATAGAAAAAAGAATTTTTTCCTTATGATGAGAAGTCTTAGGATTTACTCTCTTAACAGTTTTCATTTGTAACATACAGCAGTGTTCAGTATTTTTATCATGTTGTACATTACCTACTTAGTACTTACCTTATAACCGAAAACTTGTACTTTAGATTACATTCATCTAATTCACCCTCCCTCCACCCTCCACCTCTGGTAGCCACAAATCTGATCTCTTTTTCACCGAGTTTGTTTGTTTTGGAAGTATAATTGACCTACAACACCACGCTAGTTCCTGGTGCACAACACAGTGATTCCGTATTTCTATATGTTAAAAATGATCACCATGATAAGTCTGGTTGTCATCTGTCACAATAAAGATATTACATAATTATTGACTATATTCCCACACTACACATTTCATACCTGTGACTCATTTATTTTGTAACTGAAAATTCGTACCTCTCACTACCACTTACCTATTTCTCTCCTCCTACCAATACCCTCCCCTCTGGCACCTGTTTGTTCTCTGTATCTAAGACTCTGTTTCTGTTTGGTTCCGTTTGTTCATTTGTCTATCTCTGACTTATTTCACTTAGCGTAATACACCATAGGTCCATCATGTTATCACAAATGGCAGGATTTCATTCATTTTATGGCTGAGTAATATTCTGGTGTGTGTGTGTGTGTGTGTGTGTGTGTGTGTGTGTGTGTGTGTGTACCACTTCTTCTTTATCCATTCATATATTGATTGGCACTTAGGTTGCTTCCATATCTTGGCTACTGTAAATAATCTTGCAATGAACATAGGGGTGAATGTATCTTTTAGAACCGGTGTTTTTGTTTTCTTCACAAATACTCAGTAGTGGAACTGCTGGATCCTATGGTAGTTCTAGTTTTATGTTTTTGAGGACTCTCCGTACTGTTTTTCAGAGTGGTTACACCAATTTACATTCTCACCAACAGTGTACAAGTGTTACATTTTCTGCACATCCTTGAAAAACTTATTTGTTGTTTCTTGTTTTGTTTTTTAATTTACTTATTTTTTAACATCTTTATTGGAGTACAATTGCTTTACAATGGTGTTAGTTCCTGCTGTATAACAAAGTGAATCAGCTAAATGTATACATATATCTCCGTATCTCCTCCCACTTGCGTCTCCCTCCAACCCTCCCTATACCACCCCTCTAGGAGGACACAAAGTACCTAGCTGATATCCCTGTGCTATGCAGTTGCTTCCCACTAGCTAACTGTTTTACAATTGGTAATGCATATATGTCCATGCCACTCTCTCACTTCGTCCCAGATTACCCTTCCCCTTCCCCATGTCCTCAAGTCCATTCTCTATTTCTGCGTCTTTATTCCTATCCTGACCCTATGTTCTTCAGAACCATTTGTTTTCTTTTCCCTTTTTTTTAAGAATCCATATATATGTGTTAACATATGGTATTTGTATTTATCTGACTTACTTCCCTCTGTATGACACTCTCTCGGTCCATCCAACTCACTGAAAATAACGCAATTTCAGTTCTTTTTATGGCTGAGTAATATTCCATTGTATATATGTGACACATCTTCTTTATCCATTCATGTGTTGATGGACACTTAGGTTGCTTCCATGTCCTGGCTACTGTAAATAGTCCTGCAATGAACATTGTGCTACATGACTCTTTTTGACTTATGGTTTTCTCAGGGTATATGCCCAGTAGTGGGATTGCTGGGTCGTATGGTAGTTCTTTTTTAGTTTTTTAAGGAACCTCGATACTGTTCTCCATAGTGACTGTATCAATTTACATTCCCAACAACAGTGCAAGAGGGTTCCCTTTTCTCCACACCCTCTCCAGCATTTATTGTTTGTAGATTTCATGATGATGGCCATTCCGCCTGATGTGAGGTGATATCTCATTGTAGTTCTGATTTGCATTTCTCTAATGGTTAGAGATGTTGAGCATCCTGTCATGTGTATCTTGGCAATCTGTATATCTTCTATGGAGAAATGTCGATTTAGGTCTTCTGCCCATTTTTGGATTGGGCTGTTTGTTTCTTTGATATTGAGCTGCATGAGCTGCTTGTATATTTTGGAGATTAATCCTTTGTCAGTGGCTTGGTTTGCAAATGTTTTCTCCCATTCTGAGGGTTGTCTTTTCATCTTGTATATAGTTTCCTTTGCTCTGCAAAGCTTTTAAGTTTCATTAGGTTCCATTTGTTTATTTTTGTTTTTATTTCCATTTCTCTAAGAGGTGGGTCAAAAAGGATCTTGCTGTGATTTATGTCATAGAGTGTTCTGCCTATGTTTTCCTCTAAGAGTTTTATAGTGTCTGGCCTTACATTTAGGTCTTCAATCCATTTTCAGTTTATTTTTGTGTATGGTGTTAGGGAGTGTTCTAATTTCATTCTTTTACATTAAGCTGTCCAGTTTTCCCAGCACCACTTATTGAAGAGGCTGTCTTTTCTCCATTGTATATTCTTGCCTCGTTTATCAAAGATAAGGAGACCATATGTGCGTGGGTTTATCTCTGGGCTTTCTATCCTGTTCCATTGATCTGTATTTCTGTTTTTGTGCCAGTACCATACTGTCTTGATTACTGTAGCTTTAGAGTATACTCTGAAGTCAGGGAGCCTGGCTCCTCCTGCTCCGTTTTTCTTTCTCAAGATTGTTTTGGCTATTCGGGGACTTTTGTATTTCCATACAAATTGTGAAATTTTTTGTCCCAGATTTTTGAAAAATGCCATTGGTGGTTTGATAAGGATTGCATTGAATCTGTAGATTGTTTGGGTAGTATAGTCATTTTCACAATGTTGATTCTTCCAATCCAAGAACATGGTATATCTCTCCATCTGTTTCTATCATCTTTCATTTCTTTCAACAGTGTCTTATAGTTTTCTGCATACAGGTCTTTGTTTCCTTAGGTAGGTTTATTCCTAGGTATTTTATTCTTTTTGTTGCAATGGTAAATGGGAGTGTTTTCTTAATTTCTCTTTCAGGTTTTTCATCATTAGTGTATAGGAATGCAAGAGATTTCTGTGCATTAATTTTGTATCCTGCAACTTTACCAAATTCATTAATTAGCTCTAGTAGTTTTCTGGTGGCATCTTTAGGATTCTCTATGTACAGCATCATGTCATCTGCAAACAGTGTCAGTTTTACTTCTTCCTTTCCAATTTGGATTCCTTTTATTTCTTTTTCTTCTCTGATTTCTGTGGCTAAGACTTCCAAAACTATGTTGAATAATAGTGGTGAGAGTGGGCAACCTTGTCTTGTTCCTTCTTAGTGGAAATAGTTTCAATTTTTCACCATTGAGAACGATGCTGGCTCTTGGTTTGTCATATATGGCCTTTATTATGTTGAGGTACGTTCCCTCTATGCCTACTTTCTGGATGGTGTTTTATCATAAATCGATGTTGAATTTTGTCAAAAGCTTTTTCTGCATCTATTGAGATGATCATATGGTTTTCATCCTTCAGTTTGGTAATATGGTGTATCACATTGATTGATTTGTGTATATTGATGAATCCTTGCATTTCTGGGATAAACCCTGCTTGATCATGGTGTATGATCCCTTTAATGTGCTGTTGGATTCTCTTTGCTAGTATTTTGTTGAGGATTTTTGCATCTATTTTCATCAGTGATATTGGCCTGTAGTTTTCTTTTTTTGTGACATCTTTGTCTGGTTTTGGTATCAGGGTGATGGTGGCCTAATAGAATGCATTTCAGAGTGTTCCTCCCTCTATTATATTTTGGAAGAGTTTGAGAAGGATAGGTGTTAGCTCTTCTCTAAATGTGAGATAGAATTCGCCTGTGAAGCAATCTGGTCCTGGGTTTTTGTTTGTTGGAAGATTTTGAATCACAGTTTCAATTTCAGTGCTTGTGTTTGGTCTGTTTATATTTTCTATTTCATCCTGTTTCAGTCAGAAGGTTGTGCTTTTCTAAGAATTTGTACATTTCTTCCATGTTGTCCATTTTATTGGCATATAGTTGCTTGTAGTAATCTCTCACGATCCTTTGCATTCTGCTATCCATTGCTCTACAGAAGAAGTGATATCTTTCCTGCTTACCTGTTGGCCGTATGCTTGCTGGCCTAAACCTGGGTCACTGATTAAAGCAGCTGTTTTGATAGCAGATCCTGAAGTACTTGGATATTGTTTGATTCCATCCTGTAATTATATTAAATTAAATTATTCCAAAAAATGGGTAACACTATATTAACATAAACTTACAGTTCAGAAGTCATAACATCTTATGAAAAAATATTTTGTGGTAAGCACCGCACCACAAGGTTTCATCAAGTCAATGTCATGAATATGACATATTCTACTGTTATGATCTTTAATTTCTTTCATACTAATATAAAAATATTAAAAAATAAATGAGAGAAATTATAAAGTAGAATGTAATAATCACCTCCAAATTCTAGCTTCCAAGAAAAACCACTACATTTTCATGAACATCCATCCAAACTTCTCACTAGACAAATGCTTAGATATAATCTATAACTTGAATATTGATATTTTATTAGCTAAATTTCATATAAATGGAATCACAGTATACAAACTTTTAAAATCTGCTTTTTCATGAAAAATATCATGAAAACATTTCTCTGTGAATAAACAAAGAACAGGAATATAAGGGCAGGGTCTTTGTATCATTCACCAAGTATGCCTACTGCAGAACACAGAGTATATACTTAAATATTTGTTGGATGATGGAATGCATAAATTATATCATCATTTTCACTGGATGAATGGTCTTTTTAAAAAAAATTATTTAATTTTATTTTTGGCTGTGTTGGGTCTTCATTGCTGCACACGGGCTTTCTCTAGTTGCAGCGAGCGGGGGTTACTCTTCCTTGCTGTGTGCGGGCTTCCCATTGCGGTGGCTTCTCTTGTTGTGGAACACCGGCTCTAGGCATGTGAGCTTCAGTAGTTGTGGCACGTGGGCTCAGTAGTTGTGGCTCTTGTGCTCTAGAGCGCAGGCTCAGTAGTTGTGGCACATGGGCTTAGTTGCTCCGTGGCATGTGGGATCTTCCCGGACCAGGGCTTGAACCCGTGTTCCCTGCATTGGCAGGCAGATTCTTAAGCACTGTGCCATCATAGAAGACCTGAATGGTCTCATACACTCAAATATTTGTTGAATGATTAAAGAATAAACTACATTATCAGTTAAACAGGTGAATAATACTCTAGTAAAGGAATGTACCATAGATGATTTAACCAATACCTGCTATTAGAAATTTAAGTCATTAAAAATTTTTACTATTATAAACAATGCTGTATACAAACATCTTTCTGCACTTTTAAAATTCTCTCCTTTAGAATAAATGTCTAGAAGTCTATCTGCCGGATTAAAAAGAATGAACATTTTAAACAATAGAAGTTGTCAAATTGCCCTTCAGAAACAAAGCACCATTTTACACTTTCTCCAATAATGCATGAATTTGCAGGCCTCTTCCTCATACCCTCAACCAACACTGGATATTTTCTTCTTTGCCAGTCTACATGTCTTTGGTTACTACTGAGGTTGAACACCTTTTAATGCTTTTTTTTTTTTCTTTTTCCGTTACGCGGGCCTCTCACTGTTGTGGCCTCTCCCGTTGCGGAGCACAGGCTCTGGACGCGCAGGCTCAGTGGCCATGGCTCACGGGCCTAGCCACTCCGCGGCATGTGGGATCTTCCCGGACCGGGGCACGAACCCGTGTCCCCTGCATCGGCAGGTAGACTCTCAACCACTGCGCCACCAGGGAAGCCCCCTTTTAATGCTTTTAATCATTTGTATTTCTTTTGAGAATTGCCTGTTGATGCCCTTTGCCCTATTTTTTTGTTAAGAGTATTTATGATTTATTTTTATAACATACATTTTATGTTTTCCCAATTTGTCTTTTAACCTTGTTTTTTGCCATTTAAAATTTAAAAAATTTTACTGATCCTTTGTTAATGAATTTGCCACTGTTCATTTTAAGTATTTGATATTAAACTACATGAAAGTTTTCCATGAGGTTGATTCTCCTGTCATAACTTTCTTCAGATTACCCAGTTTCATTTGATTCCTTTATAAGAATGAGAGATGAAGGATATAATTGATATTAGTATTTTTATTATAAAGAAGGCCAATTACTGCTACAATATTAAAAAGATAACTAACATTTACTTTATGACATGTATTATTCTTCACATACTATATTTAATTCTACCTTGTGATGTAATTTCTATTACTATTTTCATTTTCCTGAAAAAAAAAAAGAGGTTTTTGGAAGTGAACTGGTTTCCCTGAGATATTAGAACTGATCGATGATAAGGCTAGGATTCAAAACCAGGCAGTCTGACTCTAGAAACTGCACTCCTAACCACTATACTATGTTATCTCAGATCAAATGATACCTTACAATTGTATAGTGGAATACCTTACATGTTCTTCTATTCATATCATTTCAATGAATCCCTCTCAAATCATATGAGATTAATATCATCACCATTAGGTGATAGATGAATTTGAGGTTAAGAGGGTTATGAGTCATGCCCATGGTTACCTAGGGAAATCCAATATTTTTCATAGTAAGTGATTTTTTTCAGAGGACACATTTTCACGTTACAAAAAAAATTATGAGTTTCCCATATTCACTTTTTCCAACATTTCCTCATACGTCTTCATTGACAATAAAATCCTGGAACAAATGTCGACTCTACTGGTCTTCCTTAGCTTACACTTTCTGTGTTAAAATAAATGCATGTGCAAAATTTGTAGTTACTAATAAGTGATGGCAATATGTTTATTGTGTAAAATAAGAATATTCAGAAGTAGAATTCCTATGTTTTCTTTAGGATTATTCACCCTACAAAACGAACGTCAACATTTGTACCTAACCCTATTAGCAGTTACCAGTTGACAGATATGGACAGATCAGAAGATCACTTAAGGACATTTGCATTTCCATAACTGAAGTATAATATGGACGATATAAAGATACATCTTGGATTTTCTGAAAAAGCAGCAATTTCAGATTTTCTCTACCCTCATCACACTGTATATTTCAACTTTTGTTTCAGACAATATGTTTATCATATATCTAAGCAAACTGAAAATACTTGGGATGACACTTAGAGAGCTGTGAAGTTCTTCCTAAGTGTTTAGGATACAGTAAGAGATCTTTATATCCTCCTTACTTCTATATCCTTTATTCAATAAGTATATATTTAGAACCATTTGTTAAAATCCTACTATTTAAGACTAACTCAAATTTACCTTTTCTTTGAGATCCTTTACCTTTCCCCCACAAATAATTAATTCCTCATTTTCTGGGATTTCAGTTTTTGTTTATATTCTTTTCAGTTAAGTGTATGTGTGTATCTATCTATCCTTACACTATATATAAATTATATTCATATCCCTAGCATATGTAGTAGGGATCAATATGAATAGATGATCAATAAAACTCTATGTAGTAGATGATCAGTAAAAGTCTGGTGAAAGAAGCAGGAAAAGGATTAGGAGGGGAAGCTCTTTAGAGAGAATATTTAGGCCTCATTAGTAGAAAATGCAGCAGACTCACGTGAGACTCATCTGATTGGTGAAGTTATTCATGTGCCACAGGTGGAATCAGAAAAGAGCTCCAAGCATACATGTTAGACAACATTCTAATTTTTTCTCCCTACATCAACCCTTCAAATATATTTCCTTCCTGAGCCTACCAACTTAGGATCACATTCAAGCAGCTCAGTCAGACATGGACTTGCCTCAGGGACTGGAGAAGGTAAATGAGAGGATTTTTATTCAGTGAACTCTGTTTTTTGTCAGATTACATAGATTGGGCCAGATGCATAGTTGGTTTGAGGGGGAAATCAGCTTTTGTATTATTTGATCTATCATTTATCACCTAAACCACTGGAAGGGAAGTAACTGCAGAAATTGTTAAAATAAATAATCCAAAAATAATTATATTTAAGTTTAATAACATTTCATTTCCATACATGGGATATATATGTGTATATATTTGCTCCATGGTTAAAGAACTCAAAATACATCTACAAAAATATGTGAAGCCACACTGAAGAACTGATTCAGTAGAAGCAAGATTTTGCAGACACCTCTTCCTATTTTCTCACTCTTATGTCTTCCCTGATTCTCATTCCCTGAGTGTACTGGAAATACCCTCAACCTCCGGATGATAGAATATATCAACCAAAGATAAGCTTCTGAAAATATGATAATTTTTTGTAGCACCATTCATATAAAAATGTTATATACTAAATACTTACAAAAACATTTATAACACTCACATAAGATATGAATAACAACAATACCACAAAAGCTTAAGAAATGCAATATCACCAGTACCTCTGCTCCCCTTTGTGTCACTCTCCAATCCCATCATCTATCTCCACCCAACCCATGAAGGTAACTGCTATACTGAATTTTTACGTTTATCATTCCTTTTTCTTATTTATAGTTTCCCACATTTGTACTGATTAGTTTTATATAAATTTTAACTTTATATAAGCAGAATTGACTGGTTCTATTCATTTGAAAATTTTCCACTCAACATTATGCTCCTGCTATACATCTATGTTTATTATTGTGGTTAGTTTATTTGTTTTCCATCACAGCACAGTATCCTACTACATGAATTTGTTTTTCCAGTCTCCTGTTAACAGACGTTTGAATAGCTTCTGATTTTTTTGCTATAGAATGCCATGGGTGCTATAAACCATGTGCATGTCTCCTGATATCTGTGTCCACAAATTATTCAAGGAGATTTGATAAGTTGAAGGCTAAGTGCATCTTTTAATTTACTGGATAAAGTCAAATTGTTTTCTAAAGTGACTATCAATGTACAGTCCCATCCATAGTGTATAAGAGTTCTGATTGCTCCCTATTATTGGTGGTTGAGGAAAATATAAGACATTTCAAAATGAGCAGAAAATGGCAGGTGATATGCATATAAAACCATTACAAGAATAAAACAGAAAATGAGAACTCCAATATTTTAGCTGATGACACTACTGTCCAAGAAATCTAAGCATGAATCAGAGGAAAACTCTAACATAGGAGTCCAAAGTGGATAAAATATCCCTACACGAACATTTTCATATATGAAATACTCCAAATCATAAATGCAGAAACTCGGGAACACCAAATAGCCAAAGCAATCTTTTTTTTTACT